AGGGCTTGAACAGTATCATCACCGGGTACTATTTTTCCAGGTCCTTTCCCATCCCATACAATCTTGCCTATCACTCTTTTCCTACTCACATCGTTTTTGGCATGCTACTGTGAAGTGTGGTAACTTCAATTGATGAACTATGTTAGGTTCAACATTGGTTTTGTCTGCCAATCTGACCTAACCTGAACAAGGCTCCACAACCATTAATTTGCTAGGAAAGACTAAAGTCTACGTGAATCATTGGAATAAAATCAGTTTTTATGTGCCCTTTGTGGAGTCACTGTGCTCATCGATCAGATTTGGACTTTGAACGCTCGCTTTCATCAGCATTCTAATATTGGTTCCACTTTACGTCTCTTTTACAATAGATCAGTGTTTTAAGTAAATGAAATGTCACTTCAGTCATTCGTTTTCGCCCCACTCCTGTGTATGCTGATGTAATGTGTGGTAAATTGATTTAATGCACTTCTGTACCAGGTTCTACGTGTCTCTGTTTTACTTCCACCTGAGTTCAAGGACTTTTTTAAATCTGATCATGTTTTAAGCATTTATGTACATCTAAATATACGCCAAGGAGTAGTTGCTGATTAGCATATAGTAGGTCGAAGGCGGTGACTTTTTCCTAAGGTGATATGATAAAACCAATGATTGATATTGCTTTTTCTCGAAATAGGGATTGATGACTGAAATTGTTGTCATTATATTCTGATGGAAAACATCCATTTTGATTACCAATTACGAAATGTACGTTTTAATCTTTAGTTTCTTGTTGTTTTATCATTCGTGAAGCGATCGTTTGAAATATTATGTCTCATTATTTATTCAACTAAATATAGATAAATAAATAGACTGATGAGTTATAAAATACATTGATCCGGCTAATTCTAACCTTTCTCGATCAAACATAATTTTTCATACCTGGAAATTAATGCACAAGTAAATTGATAGTCTCCAACTTTTTTTGAGCCTTTCTGGACCAAGTTAAAATATGCATATGACTGCCAAGTCGGTCGTACTAGTGTCATTGGATTTTGTGGCGACTTGAACAAGTTGATTTTCGGATACGACTATTTCTAAACGCGTAATCTAGTTACTGGAGAAACGATACGGTTGTCGACAACTGGCGACATGAGATAAGAAGAAGACAATGTTAGACTGAAGCGAGTTTACTGCTGTCGAAGTATAAAGGTACAACCCAGGAACACAACCCTTGCGTTTATATACGGTGTATGCGCCCTTGAGGGTGCATAGATAAAATAGCGTATTAAAAATAGGAGACTAACCAATTGGAGAACAGCGTTCCTAAAAGCGGTAAAATTGAGCGATACGCATTGGGCAGAGAAAGACGCGAAAAATAGGAGATACGTTTATTAGATTTAAGCATATAACGTTCATTTTTGGGGATTCAGCATCCCCGACAATTACCTTCATACCTTGAAGAGTAAATCTACGAGTAGCCTTTTAGCCAATAAATGTAATTAAGAAGTGCGCTACTTTTTCAGCTACATTATTAGATTCTTTCGATTCATAAAGTTTAACTGTTTGGTTGAATCAGACACTTTTCTGATGGTTGTCAACTATATTGGTAAGCAACTGAAATCTATCGACATTTCCACTTCATTTTGTGGTAATTCAGTATGAATATTAGACGCTTTCTGTAAAAGATTTTCACTGAGGCAGATGATCATATGTTTTGCTCTTGGTGTCAAAATATTTTCCGTTTGACAGATGGTATGCTGATATACAGTATTCATTCCCTGGTAACTCTTCTTCAATTGGAGTTTGTATGAAAGCTTGCTAGTTGACTCTAAACCATGATATCCAGGCTTTCGGGTTTCCTAGTAGAGTTGCTGGTTTATTTGTTATGAAAATGTATATCAATGATAAAGGATATTGTCCAAAATTATAATGTATTTAGTAAATTTTAGTTTGTTTTTATGCGATGTCCATCATGGTTTATATAGAATCACTTAGCAGTAAAATATCACATAGTATTTAAATTATCAGATGTTTAGGAGTTTTCTCAAGTGAAGGTTGGTTGTTCGTATCATTTTCTAGAGATTTTGTGTGGTATTAACTTTCAAGAAATATTATTTACTGAAACTTTTTTGGAATGCACTTTCTAGGTAGATGGATCAGAATCGCATTCAGCCCGTAATCTTACCTCAAACTGGGTATATTCTACCTCAACCAAGTTTCAATATTGTCTCTCCGTTATCTAGTGGTACCTCTACGTATGCTCACCAACCTTTATATCCAAGAACAGTACATTTCCCATTGTCATACGCTGGTTACAGTGATCCTCGTGCTAATGAAATGAACTTAACCTACTCTCCTGTTCAAAGTGTTTTTTCTTTGAACCCTTCCTCTGTTGAAGTAATGGAGAAAGACTACCAAATTGTTACTTATGAAGAACTTGAGAAACTGCTTCCAGAACCAAAACCAACTGGTCGTGTCGAGTTGGGCTTATTGCCAAATGGGTGTGCTTATGCTCCTAAAACAGCTAGTCGTGAAAATTATTTGCTCTTTGCGTCCAAATACAGTTATATATTATATTTCACGTAAGTTCAAAACTCGGTAATAACGAACGAGTAATAGAGTTTAATTGTGACATAAGAACTTATTTACTAATTATTTCTCATAAGTAGGATATATGTTTGCTATTCACGTCATTGAATTATGTAGGTAGTACCCACTTACCACGATTAACAGTTCCTGCAATGACCACAGCAGTGTTGGCCGGTGAAAGCGAAAGAGATGGGGAAGTCACCAACATCAGGTAGTACTCAAGAATTATTTAGGTATATTAAGAATACTGGCAGGAAGAAGACGGTGGTTATTGAGACTGTCATCTAATAGCCTTTGAAACGTTGGCTTGAACACAGTTCACCTAGCCCAGTTTAGCTGGGTCTTGGTAACTCCCAATTGACTTTCAAAATACATTATGAATAAGAGAATAAAATCAATTCTTTCCCGATCAAACTTAAAAAGATTGTGGTAAACTTGTGATCAAAAACTGCTCCTGGCCTTGATATTCTTCAGGAATCTTCAAGGATTGTTGTCTTGAGTTTCTATTTTGGGGGAATGTTATCCGTTAGATGACCTACATTGCCAGAACTGACTAAGTTGCTTTTGTGCTAGTCTCAAAGAAACTAACTTGTAAAGTGTAGCTCCCGAAAACCGAGCTAGTGAACAACTGAGGATGTCAAAGTCCACCAACTACGGTGGCTTGAATACGTGTTGTCTAGCCATCCTCAACGTTGACACGCACTATTGGAGTTAAGGTTAATCAAACGAAGATAACATTCTGCTAGAATATCTGGTTTTTTCTTGGTCATGTAGGTTACCTGACTAAAGTCCTCAAAATGTTACGAATCAGGGTTCACAGAGTTTTTGATAGTGCTATAAATCTATCACAATGACACAAATGTACACACCCTTTGACGTTTTTGAAACTTCAAATATTCTATTCACCTTTATCTATCCTGCCTTGTTACCCTTCGCACCACTTCAATACCGTACTTTGCTATCCACTCCCATTTGTGTACTGTTTAGAAATGTGCGTGGTGCACTACTGTACCAGGTCTTTATTTTTCTGTATATTGTGATTATATAGAATCTATGACAAGTAACCTAATTTCAGCACCACTCCTGAAATAGTCTACTAACGTCTGATAACCGTTGCAGACGATATTTAATTGCCTGTTTCATTTAATTCTGATGCCATTCGATGCAAATGTCATAAGACGCTTCTTTTTTTTGAACAAATTCTTAGACATCATTACTTCTCTCGTGAAAATTTGTGCCGTGATCAAACCTTTCTGAATATGCTTGTGGACCGACTGATTTTGCCAATCGAGAAGCTCATCAAAGCTCCACGGTTAGCAGCTTTGAATACCACCCATGAGGAGGTGGAGCAAGCATTACTTGGTAGTAAAATTGTTTGTGTAGAAGATATGAATGCGGGAATGCGCGGCGTTCGCCGAATTGATGGATGTAAGTTTTAGCGTATTTCATTCGTTCATTATTTTTCTGAGAAAAAAGTTGAAATGCACTCAGCAATCTTGTGAACATTGTTGCAGTAGGCAATGAACCGCATCTATTGCGTGAAGGCTAACGATAGTACCTGGCTGCCCAAACCTCGCTAGGTGGGTCCGTTGTCGAACTCATGAGCAAGTAAATTATAAGTTAGAATCCCGTTTATGTTTTATTCGTGGTATCTGTGAAATTTGTTCTGTATATTCTGCAAGTCACTAGTTCACTAGGGTAGTGATCGGTTGTTGATAATCCACTAAGTGCATATACGTTTAACATACATATATATATATATATATATATATATATATATATATATGATTTAGGCAGATTCTATTTTAGTTGGTTTACTAGTTTTATCCAGAGGTGGAACAGTGCTATTTACTGGATTATGTTTGTCATAATTTATTGTACATAGTCATATCAAGATAATATGATGTAGTTTGACTATGGACAATAAATTATGACAAATGTAATCCAGTAAATAATACTGTTCCACCTTAGGATAAATCTAGTAAATCAACTAAAATGGAGTTACATCCTACCACAGTGCTCAACTTTTACTTATAAATTTCAGTAACTGTCATGATGCGGAGTTATGAGAACGAACGGAAATACTTAACAATTGGTAGTCGAGGATTAAGACGATTCAACCCGAGTGATTCGCAAAAGACTGAGAATCAGATGAGTTTATAGTATCTCGGACTAAAAACGTTTATGAATGAAAACGGACTCTATTTATAGGGTAACCCTGAAAGACAAGGAATAATTAGTACATTTTAAGAGGCAGGAGCCAATCAGAACAACCACGGGTCATACGAAATATGACCCATGCGCGGGAAAAGAGCGCGAATACACCAGTCCAAATATATACAAACTGTAAGTATGGAGTATGAGCATCCCTAACACTATTTTTCAAAAATTTGTGTAATAATTTACTATGCATAATGATATCATAGTGGTCACAATCCTTGATATGTTACTCCTCGTAGTTTGATTACGTCGTCATCATCAGTAAGTGTACAATACGTTTTGTATCACTCTTGATCTTTTATCAAATTAGTGCTTCACTTTTCTGAAATTTGGTTTTACTTAGCCAAATTACGCTATATTCTGGTAGCCGATCGCATTCACTGCAATTTCGTCTTCAACTCCATTTGTCCTCATTGTAAATCACCAAACAATATGTTGGTGCTCTGAATACATGCAGTATATGTTCATGCTTTTGTTTCTGTTATGACGTAACACAATGAAGTAGAATTTAACTTCCAACCTTTGAACACCCTCACTTCGAGGTGTGTGATTTGTCATACGAACACTACTAGGTACGTATTATTTTAATGTGATTGTATATCGAAAAACTATCACTTGCTGAGGTATTTCATTCTTTAGTGTAAGGTCGTGAATGCTTCAACATTTTTGAAGCAGTAATGCCATGTAAAGATAGATGGCAGGGGTGATAAATTGGTTAGAAGTTATTTGCGAAAGTTTGGATGATTAATATGGGAGACAAGTCGCAGTTCCAACTAACAACTGATGACGTTAACTACGTGTTCCTATGAAATTTCTTTTTTTTGAGAGATGAATGAGTTGTACCTACAGTTCTTAATTTTATCGGCGATTAATACCGATTGGTGTTTTTTGAGAATTCTATGGAAGTGCGATTCCTTTTGAGGTGATAATTTTGTATAATAGCTTCTCTTACAGATGGCATATGTCATCCATATGGCTTGTAAAAAAAAACACTCAACCACCTTCTGCACATTCATGGAGTAGGCAACAAGCCACACCTATTGTCTGGGCCAGTAGATACTACCTGGTTGCCAAAACCTCGGTAGGTGGGGCAGCGGGGCTCGAGCCCGTAACGCTGTGGTTGGCAGTCATCTCCCTGAACCACTAGGTCACAGCTTTTAAACATATCGATTGGTTTATGCAACCTACTCGTAAGTTAAGTTTCCACGCACTGGTGATGACTAAAACCTTCAAAGGTGTGGCAGTAACTATAGTTTTTAGCAGAACCAAGTATCTTGTCTTTTTTCTGTTTTCGATGTGCATGAAATTGAATGCTAAAGTACGACTAGAGCTCCTGTATCGTATGTTCTCTACATTTTAGATCCTGGACTGTCGATGAACCCAGATACTTCGACGCATATGCAACCTGATAGTGGTATATCTGCTTTCGATACTTCCCAAAACCTGACTTCATTGATGGCCTCATTTTCATACAACCTCCGTGCTTTGCCGACGAACGAATCGCAGGTAACCCCCAACCTGTTGTTGTTATGAGATCTCCAGGTTCAGAAAAGTTAAGACCGGATACTTTTATGAATAGGCCAGGTCATGGAAGTTTGGAAATGAATAAAGAGGCGTCGCAAACAAGTGCTTTAATCCAAAATTCCGTATCCACAGTGCCAGGTTCACAGAACCAATTACCTGTTCCAATACTGTTGCCCATATGTGATACCGACAACTCCAGCAGTGGACAGTTTGAGTATATAAATGCACCAGGTTATTCCATGTCATCTTGCCGTGATATGACCTCATGGGCACTACAGCAATCTTCTAAGCAGTATAATGCATATCCTCGTATTGCACAGTTTTTAGTTCCTCATTCTGCTAACCAGTTAGGCTCCGTGGGACAGTATAAAGGTCAATCATCTGCGTTAAATTTCCATTCCGGTACAACCATGACAGGAGCTGACAACGCACGGTCAGGTGAGATACGTAATGTAACGGTATTATCGGTACCGCGCCAGACTCATCTACCAAATTACCTCATACGTCAAACTGCAAATGTGACAGAGTCTTACTCTGCTTCGCTTCCAGTGCCTCGAACTAGTAATACTAATCAACCTCTTAATTTCGCTGTCGCAGCAGCTTTAGCATCCCTGGGTGCCAATACTAGTAGTAGTGTTAATCAGCAACAGCGCGCGCATCAGCCACATTATTTTTCCAATGAGCTACTAACGAATTCTTCGAACATTAGTCAGATTGGCGTAAACTCGCAGCGACCGTCGAATCCCTTGCTAGATCACTTCCACGCGGTGGCTGCAATGTCAACTGTTGCTCAGCACCACAGGTTATCTCCTGTCTATTTTCCAAATTCAATTAATCAAACTAATCCTTTCAATATGTCCCCCCCGGTACCACTGCCTATGTACTACGCCACGCCGCAATTGCCTTTACAAGCCCCACTTCAACGGAACCCTTTTCAGCGCCTACAACAAAATGCTTTATATCCCATGCAAACTTATACTCATCAGTCGATACATAATGTTGGAAGCCATGAACCATCGGAGATAATGAAGTCTGACAGTAAACGTGGCTTGCAAGTGTCAAACCTTACACAGCATACGAACAACTTTATTTATCCTTTACTGCTGCAGCCACCTGTACATATACAACAGAACAAGTCACCTACAACAAACCTGAACGTTACAGGGCTTCGAATTCATTATTCTTCTCAGTCGACAAAAGGGTCTTTCAACCCAGTGGAAATAGCTCCTGTTCCTATTACCTTTGCAGTTATTAACACAAACGGAAACATATCAAATACCGACACTTCTGTATCGAAAGGGATATCAACATCTTCCACATATTCTGAGTCAAAGATCAGCTTCCCTATTACAAGCGCAACAGTAACTGATTTGACTGGAAATGCATCTTTTAAAATTGAAAACCACTCATCAGACAGTGGAGCTGCTGTTTCGCTAGCAGCAGTTTCATCCGCTGAAAATCCTGGGTGTACAATCACCAGCGATAACCATGCAGACAAAACTCTCAAACCGATTGACAAAGCAACCTCACCCGGTTCTGTTCATGATTCTGAGGATTCAGTTAGTTCCGGAATAGGTGATATGACCGCCACCAGTACAGGTGACAACGATAGCCGAAATAATTCATCATGTACGCTAACTGAGGTGACTCACAATCCAAATTGTGGCTATTTACGAAATAAATGCTTAACACAAGTTAAGGAGAAAACAACTGGTACGTGATAAAATAAAGTGGCATGTTTCCCAATATCGTAGCATTATTATAACTAACGACTTGGAACTGTCGTGAGTAGTCACGCAGTTCTGTTTTCCAAACAATTCCCTGCTGGGTAAACAATAGGAGAAATCCAGGAGACAAAGTATATCATGCTAAACAATTATCTTCGTTCTTCCAATAAATGATGCCGAGCTACGGAAACCGAATCTAAACATCAAAAATTGGAATTAATTATTCGCTTTGTCTTCGCATACATACACGTAGCCATGTTGTCCGCATGTATGATGCTCATTTCCATTACAAATGCTTTAGTTTTAATCGAGAAGTACTGTGATTTATCCTCGCAACCATTTCCTCATGATCTATCAACTGCCTTCTTACTCATTTTCAAGATTGTTTAGTTATTTAGTCTTTACTCTATCTCATTTGTACATATTGTTTCCTATCACTATACATCTATCAATTCCGTTCCCATCATGCAGTTTCTAGACAGTCTATCTTGCAAGGTGTCCTTCATAAATTACCTTCGTTCGTACAGCAAAAAAGATCTCGCTACCTCATCAGTATAAGCAGACTTTCGTCAGATCTCCCTCCAGCCAAGCGCCTTAGGTACAAGATTTTAGTGATATGAACCTAGGATGTATGTCGTTGCTAACATACCAAATTAAATTCTTGATTGTTTTTGTATCTCTTTCCTCTTGTGAACGCAGACAGAACTACTATAAAATGTTCCAGTCTTCCCCTCTGGGAACGTGATTTTAAGTTATGTACCTAAAACTCCCCAGTTTCTTGAGATATTTTCTGCCTGAATACCTACTAGCATATTTTACGAATAATTTCATGATTTTAAGTATGATAATCTATATGAGTTACTTCTTTCGCATATGCATTTCTTCATTATGCATGGAAATCAATCATTTGGACGCACTTTGTGAATAAGGAATGAGAATAAAAATAAACAAAATGTCTACGTGGACTTATATTTTACTTGAGTAAACTATTTCAAAATTGGTACCAAAATGTAAATAAACAGAGCGATTTTAGCTTTTGTCAAAGACGACATGCGACATTGAATCTGACTGTACGTAACCGGAATTAAGATTAGTGGGCTTTAAAGTATCTATCCCAACTGCTCACTGCTTGTGTCTGACCAGTGTGTGCGATCGCATAGTGGGAAAGACGGTATCTTCACATCAAAACTTGCACCATTAGGTCTCTCGAATCGGAATGATCCCCACATGTGGGCCCATGGTACAGGAACTTGGATATGGCTGTGATATTGAAAAACTGGACATTCTGGCGATAGAATAGGTTGCTTCAATGAGAAAGAATAATGAGTTTACACGGGGAATGGCTAGTTATTAAAATATTGCATATGAAGAAAAAAAGGCCGCCATATATGCTTGTGGAACTGAAGTAGTTGTTCCCGATATGTTTTATTACTGAATTTGGTGAATTTTAAGTACATGCATGCGGCATCTTTTTGTCAAATCCATTTTCCATCGATTATTTCATGTTGACGATTGGAAAAACGTCATTAGTTACCAATGTACTACATATCTTGATATCGTCTTTCATTGAGTCCTAGGAACTGATTTGTTGTTTTCAAAGTTATAATATCAAGCAGATCTATTACGGTTTTTGATATGAGTGTAGGCCGGAAAATAAATCGAACACTGTGCGATACATCTAATAAATCAAGTGAGATGGAATTGCAGTCTACCACGGTGCCAAAGTTTTACTTTCATATCAGCATCATGTAAACACTAAACGGCCGACGGGTTCTTGCAAACACGTTCTTAGATGTATTGGTGAGACTATGACAGATGAGGAAAATTGGTGCGGTCGTTTAATCGATTAAACAACCCAGCCTCAGAGAACACATTACAACCAAGAATATAATTTTGTTATTAAAGCTAAATAATTTTGCCGTTTTCAATCTTCCACATGCGTTCGTTAATTTGAGAAAATAAATCAGAAAGGTTGTAAGCAATACTCACCATTCCCACAGCTCCTTTTTCTCTGTTAGATTCCAGGTTTCCAGTTATTGAGAAAACCTTCCAAAAGCGTTCGCGGAGTTGAACTCGCTCCATTGCAAGATTCTCCAATCTGATTAGGTAACGCCACTACTTGAAATATAAAAACAGTGAAGCAAAATACCATCTTGTTTTGATTACGATATTCGAAGCCAACATTTTCAGGGTGCTCATTACGAGTGTCTGCTGATTGTTTGCACACAATCTCAGCTGAATGAATTTCTTAGGATTGCATGAACGGTCAGTTATTCTAAGCAGTGACGGTGCGTTTTATGCTAAAGAAAGTGTATTGTGTTGCGTTGATAAGGTGGAAAATTATACTCACGAACCAGACCTTAGTCGCGGTTCTTTAAGTTGACATTGCCTAGATTCATTGTCATCCCATGTGATCCATTTTTCCTAAGAAGTGCCTCGTCTTGCCGTAAAACTGACTCGGCTATTGCTGACCACTAAAATCCACTTATTGACTGACAACAACATGAGATTATGGTAGTAATTGACAACAGAAAACAAGGCTGGGTAGGGTAATTAGCCCAGTGCAAATTTGTAGCCATAAAAGCGGCGCAGTCGAAAGCCGATTTATGTGGAAAATATATATGAAATCAAACATTAGAATTACCATCAGAACGGGTAAAAATCGTATTTTTGCACTTAGTGAATGTGAAGTGGTCGGTGTTTTGTCTTTAGTTATCTTAAGCATATTGGTAAGTGTTTATTTAATTATTTATTTGGTTTTCAATTGAAAAGAAATATTTCTTCGCTCATATTGTTTGTTTACTAAATGTTCAAATAAGAATTTCCGCATTACTAAAAATTACCCGGCATCACATATTTTTGTTAACTGAAGTAAGCGGACTTACGTAACATATGTCGTTTTCTTTATTATCCTGTAATAAGAATAGGAACAAAAAATGGATTACAATGCCAAAAAGCTAGAATGTATATGGTTTCGTAAAATCTATCTATATAAACTTACTCCTGTTACTCGACGACCCATATAGAAAGGCAATACTGTTGTCCGAATACCTTCTGTCACTTTTCTATGGACTGACGTTACTTCTAAACTCCATCTACGAGCCTCAATCCAGCGTCTTAAATGGTCCGTTGGGATGAATGGTGGGTCTTCAAGAAAGAAAAGATAAGCGTATGGTAACAAGATAATTACGCACATTTATACGATCCATCGCTATTTACTTGAAAGTTTTACCCAATCCTAGGACACTTGAGTAGTTGTGCATTCAACATCATTGCTGTAGAGATAAGGAACTGAGTTCTTTTCATTAACATAAGGCTTGACATCTGAGTTGTACTTTCAAGGAGTCAACATACAGAACGATGGATTAACATAAATTATGACCTAAAAAGTTGTGAGAGGTTGGAATGTACGTTACTATTAAGCTCGAATACATTTATACCGCTGATCAACTCTCTTTAGTCACTGACTCCACAGATTTTTATCACGTTTTGTTTTGAACAATCATATTCAGCAACGTTTGTGCAGTATTTTTGACACAGCATTAAAAGGTCACTCTAATGTCTAGGAAGGCAGAAATTTGTAGCCCAAGACGAGGACTATTTTGGTCCAATGTCCTCTGATCTTCGGTATTGTCTTTGTGAATTTGGTGCTGAGGATGTCGCCGAACCTGGTGCTGAAACACCTACGACAAAACATGAAGGCTCGGAGAACACCGAACTACCATAATCCAGGAAGTCGTATGATGAGAAACATCGGTAGTTATCAGCGCTAGCAGCATTTCTCAGGTGCAGTGACCAACGCCCTTAACTCTTCTATTTCCTGTCCTCTGTTGTTACACACCAACCACGGAGCAACACCTCACACGAATGCTTTATTGAAATGCGACTTCAAAAAAGAGCAAGAACAATGAGGGGAGCGACTGGTTTAGACTTTTCAAATTGAGATTTTGTGGTACGACAAGGTTTTCTAGCAGATCAGGGTAGTTTACATGGATGTAGAACCTTGAAAAATTAACGACAAGTAGTATGGCTCATAGCATTCGTCATGAAACTGAAGTTGATTCATTTCTCTAAGTATTCTGCACAAAGTGATTCGATTACTTTGGAATAGGTGTTTCTTAGTTTCCTCTTTGTGGATTTGCTTTTTACAGGTTTACAAAGTGGGATTCGCGCCTGAAATCCGACTTGCTCCACTTCGCCATCGCATTGCAAGTTATTTACTCTGTCATTGTGATTACTTTCAGCTTTACAACCCTCGCATACTCCAAAGACTTGTGAAGATAACGAGCATTCCAAAAATCCTGCGTTTATTAGGTCACTTCAAAAGAAAAATCTTGCGTTATGTGGAGGAGCACTTGTCTAACGATTAACATAGATGAATGCTTCAGGAATAGGTATCCAAATAGTTGTTAGGATTTCGATAAGAATGTCGCTAAATTCTAAAAGTACAACATGGGTAGTTTAGTTAGGCAGGCGCAAAGTCAAAGTGGGACCTAACACAGAGGTGCACCATCTGAAGTTGCCACACTTCACAGCAGCATGCAAAAATCATGTGGGTAGGGAAAGTGACATCAAAGTAGGCGAAAGTGTATGAAGGGAAAATAATTTGGAATGGCGGGTAGTGATAATACCCAATACCAAGTCTTTGTGTAGCGACTGTGAGCCTTGTTCCAATCCAATCCTACTTCTGCTAACATTGCGCGTTGGGGTAGGTGGAGGCTTGGCGTGGGCAACATTCCCGAGCCACCTTAGTCAGCGAAGGTTCGCAAATTCGCCCCCGCACTTGTCTTCCTTACCTAGTACTATTCATCTAACCTCGGGATAACGCATGTAGTGGTCTCACGATACACCGACAGGCCTGAAACATGTCCAAACACTGGCAAAGCGAATTTAATAAATTCACAATATTGGCCACGTAAGATATCGTGAAAACCCGTTTTAGAGTCTTGTATACGCGTCTCCTTGAGATTCTTAAGTTTTAGCAGAAGATGCTTGTCCGATTTTACGTAGGGTTCAGACTGAGAGGTGCAATGTGAAATCGAGAGCTGGGTTTTAGGAGACTAGAAGTAGTGTTTTGCTGGTTCGGGTTGCTAAAAGCGCTCGCAGAGTGAGGTAGCTATCAAAGTTTAATGCTGTTATCAAGAAGTAAAGGCAATGGTAAGGAGGATGGGTCATTGTTGCTTGGATTTTGTATACCACTGGAAGCGTGTGGGCAAGTGATGCTTCCCGGCTGCCCTCATCATGGAAGTTTTTCTTGCTAGGTGTCTGAAAGAGAATAAGAAATTCGCATAACCACAAACCCTATGGGACATCTGTGTGAGGTCTGTCACAGCCTTTTTTATGGTTGATTGTCCTAACGTTGGATAGGGAAAACGCATATCACCGGAAGACTACAGTGAAGTGTGCTATTTTTAGGGTCGATCTTTTCTAATCCCCTTCCTATACACAAAAGGTAGCATCAACATGGTAGTGCTGGTCATCTGCAGGAAATACAGTAGGTTGGAAGCAACAGTGTTTCATAAATGCAATGTAACAAAAAGGAGTGATTCACACGTGCTGTTTTCTAAAACTAAGAATCAGTGGCAATTCAGGATGTGTTACTTAAGCTTACGACAGTAAATTTGAGAGAAACAGGCAGATTATGAATCTCACAGCATGTCAGTATAATTTTCACATTTACCCAGGCCTCTCGATAAGGTGAAAACACACGTGCTTGCCAACAGGTTGGCAGAAGAGGTAGGGCAGCGAAGACGTAGAGAAGACAAAGGTGATGAAGATACCCAACCAACAAAAATAATAAGCACCATCAACGGGAGAAACGTAAAGGAAGTAGTCTCTTTCACCTACCTAGACAGCATCGTTTTAACTACAGGCGGCGCCACAGATGAGGGCTTCAGAGCCAGGATCGGAAAAGCAAGACAGGCTTTCATTAACCTGAAATCAGTGTGGAAATTTACTACACCCAGCATAAAGAACGACATCCGGATTTTCAACACCAACATCAAATCAGTGCTTCTGTGGTGGTTCAGAGACTTTTGTGCGTCACGAAAAGCACTTCCAACAAACTACAGACATACACCAACGGCTGTCTACGCTTGATACTTAAGATCAGATGGCCAGAATAATAAGAATAAGCAACAAGGAACTCTGGCTGGCAACAAACTAACTAAGAACCCGTCGCCCAACAAATATGTAGAAGTGGTGATGGATTAGGCGTAGGCTGAGAAGACCATTCGGGAACATCACGCGCCAAGCCCTCGAGTGGGAACCAAAGGGAAAACAACGAGTTGGGAGTCCGAAGCGAGGGTGACATGGAGATCGTATCAGGAAGGAATGAAAGCTTCTGGCAGTCGTGAAGCTAGGCTAAAAAGACTGCAAAGAAGAGAGTGGAATGGAAATATGCTACTGGAGCCCTATGTTCGACTATGAACCCAAGGGACAGGTAAAAAAGGCTTGAATATTATCATCAGCTGGCACTTTTTTTTCAAGTCCTTTCCCATCCAATACAACTTTGCCTACTTTGATATCACTCTTTTTCTACCCACATGGCTTTTCATGATACTGGGAAATGTGGTGCCTGCAACTGATGCGTTTCTACGCGAGGCTCTACGTTACAGTTTGCCACTGTTCCGTAGGCAAATAATTCTTTTTGCAATAGAATACATAAACCTATCTATTTCTAGGTAGTTGGTCAAAATGCATATCTCGAAAATGATTATTAGAATAAAGAGTGTGGGTAAAAAGTCATCTAAAAGGTTGAACTTGTTCAAAATATGGTGAAAATTACCTTTGTCCGGAGCAGAAAGCAAAAATTCACATAAATAATCATTCCTGATGGCTGAAGCTTCGTAAGGAACATAGGGGATAATATCATCATGAAAAACATAATCCATTTCTGTGAGTATCAGTGAGGAAATTAAGGACAAACCTGAAACTATATAGATTGCATTAAAAGCTCTCTTGTCATCAAGTAAAAAGGTGATACCAGGTTTTAGAGCAGAATTCTACAGATCCATATTAGGCACAAAATTTATCGTACACATATCTCAATGTCCTTCTGATCGGTAAGAACCTGGTACACATTCACTTCTGACTCATACTTTTTCTTAAATTCATGAGACTTTAGTTTTCTGAATTGATCTAAAATATGACTAATACAAGCTAACATACGATGCTTCTATGGACTGCAGATTTCCGTCAAACAGTTTCGCCTTCCAACATTGTAATATAATACCACGATAACCAAAGTGTTTGTGCAAAAAGATTTGACCAGGTACATATGAAGACTCAGATATATCTTGGAGGTGGCCAATCAATTCTAAACTGATGAAGCATGATGTAATCGAAGTGAAATTACTTTATTGATCGACTGTATGATAAAATATATCTTTTCAGAAGTAGCTTTGGATCACGATTAGGGATATGTGATATGCAGATGCCGACTCTACGAACAAGATTCGCAGCAAACATTGAGTGTAAACTTCTACGTAAATACTTTTAATCTGATCGTAGATATCAGTTGTTAACTTCACAGCACTGCGATTACGCCAGTCGACAACCACTGTTCAGTGAATAACAAAGAAAGAATGAGTTAAACATGAGAAATGTTTTCACTAAAACACTCAACAAACATTATACACAAGAGTTCGACTATTCTTCCAACAATAAACACTGGCATTAATAGAAATGTTGACTTTTAGACTTAAAAGTAAGACACTAAATACCTATCATGGATAAATTTGTATGCTAAATTATGAGCTGCTTTTTGGTGTGAAACGAAGGAGATATTGAAAATCCTTTCAGGAAAAGAGGTGGAGTTGCATTCGTACATAAAATAGACCATCACAATTACAGTGACTTGAATATAAGACATCTAAAGACAGCGAAGTTACGTGCCACCAATATCATGAAGACAGTAGTAGAGAAGAATTCTGAGGCATCACATCGACGAAAATATGCAAACTATAGTTGACCAATTTATGGACTTGGTATGAAGCTGATGGGCAACATATAGTGAATTCCACCTAAGTAACCAGGACTCAGACCGATAGCTGCTACCTTGACATGGTGGTCGGGTTTGGATATCATAAGCACCCAACGAGCTACACTAGCTGGAACGCTTGGCCTCCTCAAGCCATGCCAGAAAGGTCCGTTGGATGGTGGTAAGATGAAAAATAGTTACAGTTACAGTGTAAATGACTACACTATAATTGGGGTCTGGGGCAAGGTTGTACTGCTGCTAGCTGGGGTATGACAGCAGCAGTTTCCCTTTGATGACTGAAAGTGCCACGCTGATGCTTCCTTCCCTTTTGGAAAGGGGCCAGAAAACGTCAGGCCCCGAGGTCTTCCGGTGCCCAGGGGTATGGATTTTTTTCTATCCCGCGTTAGAACAACCAAACCTAAAAACATCTCACAAAAGGCTATGTATGAAAGGCCTACAGCAGATGTCTTATGGGTTATGCGGTCACATTAGGCCTTTTCTCTTTCAGGTACATTGAGAAGAAATAGCCTTCCACGGTGTGGAAAGCCGGGAAGTGTCAACCGCTTGTACGCTTCAAGTAGTACACAAGACCCAATCAAACATAACTTATCCTCCCCAACTATGTTTCCCCCTTCCCTTTGCCTCCTGAGACTAATATTAAGCCTCCTACACCTTCCCCAACCTCTCATTCTGTGAGCATTGTCAACGATCAAAGCCATCGGAACGTCATTCCTAGTCTTCCAAAACCAGGCCATCAATTCCACGTAGAAGCTTTCAACGTCTGAACTCTATGCTAAATCCGGAATCTCTAGCCATACATGTATGTTGTAACCTTGAGAAATGTATACAGGACCTGAGTGTGGTTATTAAATCGACCTCACCTTACCAGTGAGGTGAATCTTCGAAATCCACCTTAAGAGTATCTGAAAACCCAATGGCTAGCTCTCGTGGACTCCCTGGTGTAGGCATAGCATTAGGCTGTAGGGCAGAAAGTGCGCTTCTCGATTGGATACCAGTCAACAGCCGTCTATGTCCTGTTTAAATGAATGGATCAGTGAGGACTAGGAAGGATAGTGGGACTAACCGATGTCTATTCGCAGTCTCCGCCTATGCGCCGATCAACTTGACTTCGGATGATGCAAAGGATGAATTCTATAGGCTGTCAAATCTGCTACAGAAAGCAAAACGTTCAGATATTGTCTTATTGGCAGCCGACTTTAACCCTTAAGTAGGGAAGCTCAGCCAATCCGAAAGTCAACTTGGAGGTATTTACGGAATCTTTTGCAAACGAACTGACAATGGTGATCGTTTGTTGCAATTTTGATCTGATAATCACTTGTATTTGGCCATCATAAGGCATAAGGAAAGGCACTGTATTACATAGCATTCACCGACTGAAAACCAACGATGGACGCAGATAGATCATGTTGCTGTAAGCCGTCGTTGGAGAGGATGAGTGGGAGATTACCGCTCTTTTTAGAGTACCAGTTTAGACTCCGATTGTGGGCTAGTATGGGCTCGTGTATGTTTGTGCCTTGCTAGCCGCAGGAAACAGATGGCAGTGAAATCTGTCTTCGCTTGATTGGAAGATGAGGACGCCAATAACGCACTTAGAAAGTATTTAGCTAAGCATTTATCTGAACGTGACAGCAATGGTCATCTTGAGAAAACCTTGTGTAATATTAAGTCTGGTGTAGAAGCAGAAGTAAACACGTTTGGTCACTTACACCTGAAGGTAAGCAGACGTCAATGGATTTCCGTGATGTAGCCTGAACTAAGTGATGTGGGGAGACTGATTTCAGTTGACCACGATGAAGAGCGAAAGCAACTTAACCGTCAATTGACCAAGAGTATTCACGTCGATTGTGAGCAGTGGTGCGTGGTGAAAGCGAGATATGGAGATATCAGCGTTGGGCAGGACAAGGCAACCACAAGCTTACTAAGGATACCAGTATGAAGATGATGGTTAGCAAGACTATCATCGAGATGGATGGGACGCTGATAACCTCCAAGGATAAACGGCTGGAGCGTTCAGTGGAACACTTTTAAGCACAGTTCAATTGGCCAACAGTAATCCTTCAGTTATCCAGTGTGAATTGGATGTAGAAGTTGGTCCTCTAACTCTCCTTCAAGTTGACAAAGCTGTATCGAACCTGAAATGACACAAAGCACCAGAACCTGACAGTTTGCCACCTGAAGTTTTCAAGGATGAAGGTGGGAAATTGATAATTAAAGTGACGGAGGTGTTAGGTAGTGCATGGAAATCAAAGGTAGGACCGCCAGACTGCTTTACTTCACTGATTATTCCATTCTGTTTAAAGGGAAAGGTCTTCTTGTCACAATGAGAGGGGAAACAGTTTGATTAGTATTGTACCCAAGATCCTAGGGTACACGGTTATCCGACACCTAACTGGAGCTTGAGAACAACAAATTCTAGAAAACTAGGCAGGTTTCGGACCTGGACAAGAGTGCATCGACCATACTTTCAGTCCAACAGTTTCTAGAACACAATCTTACCTACCTGTAGCTGACACTTGCGGCACTCGACTCGGTCGTGAGGTGTTGTGGCAATGTTTGTGAAAGGAGTACCAAGCAGGTATATAACGCTAGTCGGAGATCTCTACTCGAACTGACGCAGCCGTGTTAGAGCTTATGGAGAGTTTTCATTTGAGTCGACGATAACTAGTGTCCGCTGTCATCACTCCTATTTAACTTCGTCATAGATGTATTAATCGACATAACCCTAGGTGTACCTGACTTCATAGGGACTAATCTACTCCCTGGAGGCCATCTGGCTGACTTGGAGAACGCAGACAATATTGTCTTGCTAGGTGAAAACGCTGAGAAAATGCAGGGTCTTCTGAACGCGTTGAGCAGAAATCTGAGTATATTTGGCATGTGGTTCTCACATTTCAAACGTGAGATGACACTCCATGACTGGTCTGCTACTACTATCAGTTTAATGATAGGGAGTGAATCGGTGGAATATGTCGACTACTACACTTACTTAGGAAGCTCCATTAGCCCGGACGGACTGATTACTGACGAAATTCTAGGTCAGACTATCTATCAAAGGATGATTGTACTGAGCTGCAGTCTGTTCTGTCCTGTTGTGCCGCAGAGACATGGTCGTTAAAAGTAAAGAAACGAAGCGATTACAGGGTTTTAGTCGCATACGTCTTCGTAGTATTGCTCGCGTTTAGTGGAATCACTATGTGAGCAATGTTGAGACCAGGCGAAGGGCAGTAGGGAAGATAGGCGAGTAGATTGATGAAATTGTGAATGCTGGTCGGCTGAAACGGCCTGAACATGTTGCGCGCGAGAGCCACCGCCTAATCGGCGTGCTATACTATAGGAAGTTGTGCTGGGTTGGAAGAGGTTTCAGTGTGGCCAGACCAAAACGTGACACCAGTCGATGAAGTCTCTTGCTGTTGGTCTGAGCCGTATATGGAGATGTAGACTGCCTGGTTGGAGTCCTCGAGACAAGAGGAACTGGTGGTTGGAGACTTTTGGTGACATGGCAGAAAACTGGTCACAATGGCGCAGATGTATTCACGTCTTGACATTTAAAGCTTCAATATTCCTACTAACCGTGATGTTCAGATTGTCTATTGTCTCGCACAACTTTATCTACTTTGATGTCACTTTTTCTATCCACCTGTTCTTTGTATACTACTGTGAAGTGTGGTCGCCTGAGCCGATGCACTTGTATGCGAAGTTCTACGTCAATTTCGTCAGTCAATCAGTCAGGTAACCAGGACATATCCCTAGCCATCAAACAACGGATACAATTAGTAGCTTACTGAATAAATCTGGTGGCCTTGTGAGATTTACGGTAATGTTTAGTATTATGAATTGCATAAGCAAAGCGGAAAAACGTTCCATAGCTTGTTTACTAATCTTCTACCTAAGATGCATGATGAACAAGAACTGGGTACGAAACATGAAACCAACTGATGAATAAAACGCGATCAAGAGTTGCATATATTTAAAAACCACATAAATTAAGCATACCTCGAAATACATAAAGAAAACAGTACTGAGTTTCTGAGCTTTTTCTTATCATAAAAATGAATTATTTAGTGACATATGAGTCATTATCAGCATTTAAACAGCCCGGACAAGCACTGTCAACCAATAAGTCATGGAGCGCCTGAATTACTAATCCTACAATACAAAGCAGTTCAAACTAGATAATTATTATGAAATACAATAGTGTGAAGAACAACAGCGGTAGCAAATAAGTTGGCAGTGTGACAAATTAGTAAAATAAACACGTGCTCCGTAAAAGCACACCGGTTTATACACTAATTGCAAATCTTGATTAGTAGATATCAGTTTATTAATTTAAGCGTAGAACTTGGACAGTGGTAGAATTTAATTTCATGTTAGATTTGGTTATTTGATGTACAGAAGCTGTATCTCTGTGTGCTGCATGCTGAGCTAACTTATTATGAGGCTCAGTTTATCAAATTCATAAGATGATTTACAGCATAACATATATGGCATTTTAGGTAGCATATACACAAGTATTGCCAATTACTTCAGTCATAATACTGGCTGAACAGAAAATGTCCGACACCTAAAAACTAAACAATTGACTACCTAAGGATTACTTCTCAACTCTCCTCCTGGAAGTCAGTAGGGAGTACGGCAACACAAGGCACAGTCTTGGGTCCCTTGCTATTTCTCCTACACATAAACGAGCTGTCGAATATCACGAAATCTCCCAACGTCATTTACGCTGATGACGTAAAAATCTGGTGAGGAACTAGGGATGACGAGGATGCAGGCGCACCTTAGACATACCTAAACAGCTTGTTAACCTGATTGGAGAAATGAATGTCGGTCAACGAAGGTAAGTGGGTGAGCATACACACAGGGCAGAAAAATTGCAACACCTGATAGTGGTGGAACTCCTCTACCCTCAGTACTGACTAACAATGACATAGGAGTCATAGTAAGTTAGGATTTGGAGATATTGGCGCACTGTCGATTGGTAGCAGCTCGAAGTTTTAGAGCGCTGGGAATTATGCTGGACACTTACAAAAATAAGTGGCGATATGTCCACCACCTTATACACATCCTTAGTTAGGTCTAAACTAGAAAACTGTACACAGGCCACAAACCCGTCTGGAGGATGACTCAGACCTCCTGGGAAGATTTCAGCGAGCAGCCATTCGTACGGTCCCTGCGATGACTGACCTGACTTTTGAAGGTCGACTTGAGGAGTTGAACCTCTTCTCTTCACCCTATCGCAGATAGGGGAGACCTAATCAAGCTATACAGGATTCTAAGATACGACATTGGACCTGATCTATCTTCTTTTCCTCCCCACTAAGTCTGGATACCTCGGACACAGCAAGAAAATACAAAGGCAAAGCACAAACCTGATCTCCGCAGGGTAATGGTTCTCGCATCCAGTGGTCAACTCCTGTAACTGACTCACTGAAGAAGCGGTGTGCGCGTCATCAACTGACCCGTTCAAGACTGGATAAGCAGAGACTTACTGGAAAAGGATTACTATAGGCTCACGAGCTCCGCTTCTTGAACAAAGAAAATCCGAAATCCAAGTCTAAAACTAAGGCTACTATAAGAGTGAACAACTAATGCAATGTTGACTGGGATGACTTCCCCATGTAGGAATCTTACATTGACTTTTCGATCATTTACAAGCGAATCACTATATGAAGCTACGCACTTCTATCCACACACCAACAATTACTTCATGTACATTCAAGAAAGCCTAAACCACGCTAACACATACGATTAAATATGCGCACGTGTGCACAGTACTGTAACATTGCAGCTATGGCTACATGCAATAGTATGATAAAGCTGCAAACGGTTTTTAAGATGAAAATTAAGGTGATAATATTGAAATAATTTCTAATAAGCATAGGATGTGCATTGTGATGTCTGAATAACAATGAACAGTGAGGAGCGTGGTACACCAGTGAACAGACAAACTGTAACAGAGTGACTTTAAAGGCCACTCAGACAACTGCTGATATAAGTAATTACATTTTCTTACCCTGTGATAAACTGCGTTCCCAGCCAAAAACTCCGAAATCTGACTAGTTATTTCAGTCTTCGTCAGGGTGACCCACCAAGGTCACTTCTGTAATGGCCGAACAAGTTTAAATTTCCGCCTTTCATCTACACAGATACTATTGGTAAAATGTGACCATCCAATATCTTTTTACGAGCTAGTGTAAAGCAACTGATTTCTTCGCGCTCGCTTCAAGGTCTTGCGTAATGGTCCCAGGTCTTCGGTGGATTCTGATGCAGTAGGTCTACCCACTCGACTGCTGTAGCTCTGGTTAGCCCGACGGGCGGTTGGGTGTTGGTTAAATTTGTAGGGAGTGTAGTTTGTTTGTTCGTTTTTTCTTCCGAGGACTGTGTTGCAGATGGGTTCCTCAAGTGTTGTGTCAGCAGACAATTGGTCGGATTGGTTGTAAGAAGGAGATGAGAAATATGTGCAGAGAAATCAAGGGCGAGAAAGTCTAAAGAAAAGCAAACGGAAAAAGAAAAAAGAAAGAGAAGGTTAGAAGACAGGAGACGACGCGGAAGAAGAAACGTTGGCAGATATATGAGGAAGGGGTGATAGGGAGAGCTTTTGTTGAAGTATGAGAACGCAAAGTCGGAAGGAAGAAGAATAAGCGATATAGTAGGGCGAATGGGAATGTAGTAATTCTTTTAGTAGGAAACGGCAACTAGAGGTGTAAGGTTGAGCCAAGTTCCCAGTGATAATGGTGTTACAAAGTATTCAGTAACGGTTAGCCGTACCGAGTTAGTAGGTCGTGCCAGCCTAGTCCACATCCCAGTTGGATGAGCACAAACCGTGTGTCGCTGCGTAACTGTCCAACCCCTTCTTGAGGCTGTCGACGGACGGAGCGGTAGCAATCCCGGCAGGCGATGCGTTCCAGTGGCCGCATACTCGCGGAGAGAAGTGTGATTGCCGTGTGCGGCCGACCAAGTTTAGATTTCTGCCTTTCATCTACACAACTGCCGTTGTGTAAAATGTGACCATCGTAGGGTAAATCAACAAGAGTAAGTTCAACGTCCAACATCAGTGGTGCAAGCAGAGGAAACTTGTAGTTTCCAAGCTCTCGCCTCCAGTTCTTGAGGCTCGGTTCATTTTGCTCGGCTATACTCCTTCGGTGGTCGCAGAAGTCTTTATGTCTTTCCTGGTAGTAGCTTTGGAGGTAGTGATTGACCATTTGGAGGTATTCTTTCTTGCATATTGTATCTTAATTCATTCCAGGAGAAGTGGAGTTGCCGGTAAGACCAATCGAGCTCTTACAATCCCTGTCCTCGTAAGCACCTCCAAGTAAGCACCATGCGTTATTCATTAAAATGTGCTAGAAATAGTGTGGGTGGGGAATGCGAAAAAGAGGAGTGAGAAGTGCTTACGGAAGAATGGGCGTTATTAGTAGTAATTTCAAACCTCGTGTTGTAAAGTCAGTGAACGGCGGTTCCTTGGGTTCTACGTCCGTCTTATTGAAATACTTTCTGAGTTTGAAACGGTCACAACTATCTTACCGGTTCTGAAAAGCCTGAAATAATAGAGATACTGTAGGGGTGAGTGTTACTATTCCGTGATGTTTGATCAACCTTGCTTAACTCGATGTGCCCTAGTACCTACTTAACCAGCAGCTTCCCTAACGTGTAAGTACTAATAGGGAAACACAAATCAAAAGAACTGGTTCGGGAGTATATTTAAAGAGGTTATTTATTTATCACTATTCGACAGTTCTTCGAGTTGAGAGGAATCAGGTCTTCTCTGGTCCAAATAAGGATTTTGATAGGGTCCTCCTGGAAGCAAGAGATATGTTTTCTCCTGTATTTCCGTTCAAATCTTCAATCCATCGCCACATAACGGTGAGTGAGCATATTGGTAGTTGACAAGCATAAAAACAGCCCCAGTTCTTACTCTCTGGGTGAAATAAATATCTGTCACTCTAACGTTGAACAAGATCTGGGAGCTACACTAAACGATACGCTTGGAGCTTCAGTCCACTGTTGTCTTGCAGCCAACAGGACTTATGGAATCCTGGGGTTGCTCTAGCAAACTCCAGGGGGTCTAACTCGTTTTTCACCACAGTGTATGCCCTGTACATTCGCCCTCACCTTGAAAAGGTTCGCTTGTGATGTCCCCATACTTGAAAAAGGACATATTCATCCCAGAATGGGCACAGAGAGTAGCTACAGAGAAAGTGACTGGGTTACGGCACAGACGGTACCCAGACCTCTTAGTTGCCCTGCAGCTGCACCCAGTACAACGGCGGGGGAGCAGAGGGGATATGATCATGATGCACCACATAGCCCACAATCCCCTCTAGCCTAACTGTTCTCTTCTGAGCTTTAATCAGAAATGCGACTTTGGGGTCACCCATTAAGTATATTGCATGGAAGAGCACTTACAAAGATCCGTGACAACTCATTTGCGGTTAGTCTGTAAACTGTGGAACTCCCTACCCTCAGCATTTGTTACAGCCCCATTCCCTGACACTTTAATCGGAGGTTAGACGCACGCCTCGAGTTCTGCGGTACCAATGGGCTGCATTCGGGAGGCTTTACGCAGATCAAATGCGGTAATACTACCTTCAGACCAGATTAACTGGTGATCGTAGTGTGGCGCACCTTCCTGGCAGCAAAATACAACTCGGGTTGAAATAAATGGGTCAGATTAAATTAACTAAATAAACCTCTAGCTTGCCTCCGGATGCTTAGGGTGTTTCTATGTTTTATTTTGACTAGCATGCATGGATGCCATTTTGCGCTTCCTTAGAGCTGGCTAACACGCACGTGCTCAGAGTCCATAGCTAAGCCATACTAGCCAGATAAGTGGAATAAACTTTTCCCCCATTCATTACTATTACATCTACTCTGATCAAATACATTACTTCTTTAAATATACTCCCGAACCAGTTCTTTTGATTTGTGTTTCCTTATCGGTGCTTACACGTTAGGTAAGCTGCTGGTTAAGTAGGTACTAGGGCACATCGAGTTAAGCAAGGTTGATCAAACATCACGGAGTAGTAACAAGCGCCCCCACAATTAATGAGCCCGAGTATCATTTCTTACTTTGCCTAGTAAGTTTGTTTTTTTCTTCCGTCGATTTGTCTGGCCTACTTCTATTTTTGGCCCGCTCTTGCGGTTTTCTATTGCCTTCCTCTTCGGTTATTTCTATGTTGTTATTTTTTTATTTTCGTCATCCTGTCTCGTTAATCCCCTATCAATGGGTGACAACGACTCAACTACTCAGATGGCCATTACCCTTCAGCTTCCCACCTTCTGGGCCCACAGACCATCTGCATGGTTCTCCAACGTGGAAGCTCAACTTGCCTTGGGACACATCCACTCAAAAGAAACTAAGTCCAAATCACCTATCGTCAGCTTACCGGAAAATGTGATCGAAGTCGTCTCAGGCATGCTAGACGACCAAGCACCGAACCTGTACAATCGCCTCAAAACCTCCCTCATCAAACGCGTTGCACTTACTGAACGGCAGAAAGTCCAAGAACTTTTCAGGGATATGCACCTTGGTGATCGTAAGCCGACGCAGCTGCTTCGTTGGGTGAAGCAGCTGGTTGCAGACCCCAGTATTGATGAAGCAAATCTCAAGCAACTGCGGTTACAGAGGTTACCATAGTCGGTGCAAGGAATCCTAGCACCCTTTCATGAGTTCCCTTTTGATAGAGCTGGCGGAGGCGGCTGACAGAGCTGTGGATGCCACGAAGCCCGACATCACTATCTCAGTTGCATTGTCTACTGCGACTTATTCGTCCAAAAAATCACACCCTCCCTTGGCAGGTGAGCCAACAAGTTTCGATGCTATAGCTCACATCACGAAATCCTATGAGGAATTGTGCAGTATCCGGAAAGAAATGCAGTCTGGCAGTTCCTCCAACGGTCTCGCGTCCCGCTCGCGCAACAGATCTGCCTTCAGCACCTGTAACAGGCATTCCAAGTCGCGACAATCCCAACTCAGGTTGTGATGGTACCATAAACGTTATGGTGCCAATGCCAAAAGGTTGCACTCGACCTTGCACCTTCGAGGCTAACCAGGCGGGAAACGTGTGAGCCAGCACGTGACAGCGGCTGACGTCGCTGGCGAACCACTTCCATGTCGCCTCTTCTTCGTCACTGGTCGACATCCTGGGATATGCTTCCTGGTCGACACTGGAGCGGAAGCTAGCGTCATCCCACCTACGAAGAGAGAGCGTCTGCGGCCAATGTCTCTGCAACTTCGTGCCGCCAACGGTTCGCCCATCACAACATATGGTCGAAGATTCCTTGACCTCAACCTTGGACTGAGTTGTTCCTTCCGTTGGGTTTTCATAGTGGCTGATGTGACCATCGGCATTGTTGCTATGGTTCTCTTACAGCCCTATCAGCTGCTGGTAGATGCTAGCAAGCATAAGTCGGTAGATCCTAACATAAGGCTCTCTGTCTCCGGTGTTGTCACAAAGACGTCTTCCCTCAGTCCCGTGTACTCCACGACGGACGCTTCTAGTCCCTACGCGTCTACTATTCAGCCCTTTCCGGATGTCTTTAAGTCAAGTCGTTGTGTACCTTGTGTGACTTCGAACATCTCTCATCACATAACGACGACTAGCCCACCAGCGTTTGCGAAACCACGGCGATTATCCCCGGAGAAACTGCATGCTGTAAGAGCCGAGTTTGAACACATGCTTGAAATGGGAATAATCAGACCATCCAACAGTCCATGATCTTCCCCCTTGCATGTGGTACTAAAGAATAATGGCATGGACTGGAGGCTTTGTGGTGACTACCGGAGGCTCAACGCTAAAACGATTCCGAATTGTCACCCAGTCCCTGACATACACAACTTGACTGCATCTTTAAAGGGCTCATTTATCTTCAGCAAACTCGCATGCATCCCGATGATGTCCCCATGACAGCCGTCATTACACCGTTTGTCTTTTTTGAGTTCCTTCGTATGCCCTTTGGTCTTCGCAATGCAGCACAAACTTTCCAACGTTTTATTCACGATGTTTTACGTGAACTCGACTTCACCTATGCTTATTTAGACGACATACTAATCGCTAGCCCAATCGACGACACTCATTTCAACCACCTGAAACAGATTTTCGCCAGACCGTTGGAGTATTTGGTGACAGTCAACCTGGCCAAATGCCAGATTGGCGTTCGTTCACTGAAATTTTTAGGACACGTTATC